GAAGGAAGGAAGGAAGGAAGGAAGGAAGGAAGGAAGGAAGGAAGGAAAGAAGGAAGGAAGGAAGGAGGGAAGGAAGGAAGGAGGGAAGGAAGGAAGGAAGGAAGGAACAAAAGAGGGAGAGAAAGAGGGAAGGAGGGAAAGAGAAATGAGGAAAAAGGGAGGAAAATTCTTTTAGGTGTGGGCAGCACACAAATCTGAATGGTATTGCTGGTTACAGACTGCACTCACTGTTCTCTTTCCATTTCTATTAGCCTTTCTCATAATTCTGTAAGTTCTGGGACCTAAATTTCTCATGATTTTCATCTGAAAATTGATGAGTCATGAAGAGATTTTGAATCAGCTAGACTTTGGTAGCAGTGAAAAATTTAGGACTAATTAATTAATCAATCAAGAATCATTTACTAAACTATATAAGCTATGTGCCTAGCACTGGCAAAATAAAGACAACAGTGATATCTCTCTTTGACATTTATACAGTCCCTGCCCTGAGAGAACTTATATCCTTAAAAAAAAAAAACAACACTTCTTTTCATTCAATGAGAATCTACCTCCCTCTCACCTCCCCTCCCCCCTTTCCACCAATGAGGAAGAAAAATAAAACTCCAGTTATAAGCATGGAAAGTCAAGCAAAACAAATTACCCACACTGGCCACACCCTTTAAAAAGGTCCCAGTTTGCAACCTGAATCCATCACCTTTCTCTCAGGAGGTGAGCATCAGTCTCCAGTTGATTGTTGGCCATTTCATGAATCATAATTTTAAAGATTTTCAAACTTTTTACAATGTTGTTATTGTATATGTTGTTCTCCATATTCTACTCACTTTACTTTGTATCAGTTCATATAAGTCTTCCCAGGTTTCTCTGAAACCATCCCTTTTGCTATTCCTTATGGCACAACAGCATTCCATTACATTCATATAGCATAATTTGTTCAGCTATTCCCCAATTGATAGGTATGTCCTTAGATCTAGTTCTTTCCTACCATGGAAAGCTTCTATAAATATTTTTTGTACACATGGGTCCTTTTCTTCTTTCTTTGACCTCTTTGGGATATAGATGTAGCAGTGTTATTGCTAGGTCAAAAAGTACGCACAGTTTGATGACTGTGGGGGGGATTGTCTTCCTAACTCCAGGCGCACAGCTCTATCCACTTCACCAGCCAGTTGCCAGGGTAGGGACAAAAGTATACTAAGGGTAGGAATGAAACATACTAGGTAAAGCCAAAACGCTTCAGGGGAGTAGACAGTGGCAGCTGGGAAGATCCCATGGATGGGTCAACTCAATGGGCCATGTAAGACCTACAGAAAGAAAAAGGGAAAATGCTTCTGGTAGAGATCAACCAATCTTACACTAAGAGATAGAAACTGGAATTAGCTAACTCTTGGGGGAAACTCAGATCCAGGTGGCCCCTAAGGTGCCATTTCAGACAATGGCAAAGGAAATACATGCCCTATTACCATCACTCCCTCCCAACCATACCCTAAGTAGTCACCAGGTAAAGGTAAATAAGTAATATTTGTAAAAAGGGTTCAGCACAGTGCCTGGCACATAGTAGGTGCCACATAAATGTTTATTCTCTTCTTCTCCACATCTGCATTAAAAGCTTTTAAAAACTCATGGATGCTGAATCTGGAGCCAGTTATGAAGAGAAACCAAGGGTTTCTTGTGGGTCCTTCTACAAGGTCTTGGGGTAGAAAGTTTATCGAACACCACCTACTCATTTGCCCCTGATAGAAATAGAACACTGACTTGAACGGACCAGTGGTCTGATTCCACCTGGAATTTTTCAGGATGTCATGAACGTATGTTGTAGGAAGGGGACCCCAATAGGCAGGTAAGAGAAATAGAGAAAATGCCTCAGAATCTCCCCAGCAGGAGAGCAGGGGAATGGAGAATGGATGGACAGATGAATAGAGAGATGGATGGTTGGATAAACATTTGACTGAAGAAGTATTTTTAAGCGATTACTGTACCGAGCTAAGTATAGGAATACAAAATCAAAATAGGGATAGTCCCTGCCTTCAATAACCTTACATTCTAATGGGGAAGACAATACATGTAGGGGAGTGGCACCCAAGAAGGTATGTGTGGGTCCCAGAAGTTACAACATGGTGGGTGGAGCCATAGGGCAATGATTAACTAGTCCTTTCTACAAATAGGAGTGATGGACAGCTAGGTGGAACAGTGGTTAGACTTGAACCTGGAATCTGGAAGACCTAAGTTCAAATTTGGCCTCAGACACTTACCAGCCGGGTGAAATTGAGCATGTCACTTGACCTCTGCCTGCCTCCATTTCCTTATCTGTAAAATGGGGATACCAATAGCACCTCCCTCCCTGGGTTGTTGTGAGGATCAAATGAGATAATATTTGTAAAGCATGTTGCCAACCTTAAAGCACCATATCAATGCTAGCTCTTGTTATTATTAATTAATTGCTACTTCCAAAGTTAGTAGACATGGAATGTGAGAGGGGCAGGAAAAGGGAGGTTGGGGTTCCATACACCTTCAACAGAGAAAGAACTAAAGGTAGTGGGATATGAGGAGAGAACCTAGAATCACAGCTTTAGAGCTGCAAAGGACCTCAAACATCATTCTTTCCAACACCTTCACTTAATAGAAGAGTAAACTGAGATTCACAGAGGTGAATTGGCTTCCCTTCTCTTGCCACTGCCCCCACATCCAATGAATTACCAAGGCTGGTCAGTTCTACCTACAGAACGTATCTCCCATCCATTCACTTCCAACCACCCTCCCACATTTGGGCTCTAACCACCTTTCACCTGGATATTGTCATGGTCTCCCCATCTCTCCCTTTTCCAATCCAGACTCCACACAGCTACCAGTACTGATCATATCACCCCCCTGTTCAAAAAGCTCCAATGGTTCTCTATTGCCTCTAGAATCGACTACACACTCCCTGGCTGGGTATTTAAAACCCTTCCCAACCTGGCTCCAACCAACCTTTGCACGCTCATTACCCGTGACTCCCCTTTACTCATTCTTTGGTCAGCAAACCTACCTGTTCTTCCTCACAGATGACATTCCCATCTTCCACCTCCACACCTTTGCACAGGCTGCCCCTTCTTGGAATGCACTCTTACCTCATCTCTACCTCTTAGAATCCCAGAGTCCGTATCTTCCTTCAAAATCCAAATCCAATGTCACCTTCTACATGAGGACTTTCCCAATCCCCTCAGAGGCTAATACCACCTCCCTCTCCATTACTTCGTATTTATTGTGTAGTGTATTTGTTTGCCTATGTTTCCCCAATAGAGAGGAAGCTCCTTGGGGCAGGGACCAGTTCATTTTTGTCTCTGTATACTTAGGTGCTTCCTGAATGCTTGTTAACTGATTAATTGATAGTGCCGGGTCATATAGATGGTGAGTAGCAGAGGCGTGATGACTGCAGGGCTAGATCTGAAGCCTTTATCCAAGTAATGGTTCATTCTCTTGAGACAAGAGGTAGTATGGTATGTCAGATTTGGGGTCAGAGAATTTGGGGTGACTCAAGCCCACCTCTCTTACTGTGCACCTTTGGGCGGGTCCTTTGGTGTCTCTGGGTGCGTCATCCTTCACATTAAAAATAAGATCAAGGGAACCTCTAAGAGTCTTTCTGTCTCTAACTCCCACGATAAGGTTCCTGCCAAGAGCACAGTGTAACTTAAGGATTCTCTTATCCATGATTGTCCTTGGAAAGGGACTATGGCTGAGGATGCTGCCCTGTTCTCTGGAGTCATTTCTTCAAATCCCACTTATCTGACCTCTTCTTTGTCTCCATCCTCCTTCCTTCCTCCTTCTTGACCTTCCTTCCCCCCTCCTCTTTCTTCTTCACATTCTTCTCCTCTTCCTTTTCTTCCTTCGCTCTCTCTTCTTTTTCCTCTTCTCTGTATTCTGTTTACTTTGGGAGGGGAGTACTCCAACTTATAAATAAAATGAGGACATGAACTGGAACCATTTAGAAACACAAACACCACGAAGGGGGTGGGAGAGAATAAAAGAAGACTCTTTTGCCATCCCCACCCCTGGAGCCTTTTGAAACCTAATCTCCCCTGCCCACTCTCTGCAGAGGGCAGAGTTCAGCAAGCTGATGGGGAGCTGGGGGTCTCCTTTCTTTTAAGGCACACATACACACCCCAAAATGAGGAACCAACTTTGGCTCGGCTCTGGGCTGCTTTGAAAAGTGTTTCCCTGTGTTTGGACAGGTGGCACCGGGAAAGGAGCTGTGGTGGGGGGTGGCCATGGGGGCCCTTGCCCAGGGCTGTTGGCCCTCATTCAGGGTCACCCCTCCCCCCTCCCGGTGAACACACCATGTCTTTGCAATTCAGCTGTCTTCCTGGTTTTGTTTTTCTCCTCCCCTTGTACTGGGACCCTCTGTGAAAACAAAGAGAACTTTGAAAAAAAAAAACCCTGTCCCTTCCTGTGTTCCCAAATGTTCAGAATGCTGTGGTGAACTTGAACTATGCCCATCTGTAACGCCCTGCCTGAGGAAGGAGCCAACAAGCCTTGTGAATGCCTCCCACTGACATTACACCTATTGGCCTAACCTCCCCTTCCCCCCAGCCAACAGGTCATTCCCTGAGCACCAGATTTCCAAAGCTCTGCCAGTGGAGATTGGCTGAACCTCTCCCTGGAGAGGAGAGGAAAGGGGTGAGAGAGAGAGAGAGAGAGAGAGAGAGAGAGAGAGAGAGAGAGAGAGAGAGAGAAAGAGAGAGGCAGGCAAGATCAAGTGGCCAAGCTGAGATGCAGCTGAGAAGCCAGAATAGCTTTGCTGGCTTCCTTGGGGCTCTCCATTAGAATAATAGTCCTTTCACAAGCTGGAAAGGTCAAGGTGCCACCTTTGGGGCTTTCTGAATGGCACCATCAGGGCACGAGAGGTCTTCCACCCGACTAGAGGGCATAATAATAGTTGACATTTATATAGGCAATGCCTCCAGCTGTGGCAGACCTGGGCCCTGCACATTCCTGGCACCAGGAAGGATCCTGGCTGTGGGCTAACAAGAACAGAGGTTAGTGTGAGTGTTTATTCAATGTCAGAATGCATGGAGACCTCCCAACCCCCTGAATTCAATTCCCTACTCATTGAAATAAATATGCCCCTTCTTAGACCCTAGCCTCCACTGAGAGCCTTTCCTCTATCCACCTTGCCTAATGATTCTCTGGTCCTGGTGGTACTGTACCAGACTGGACCAGCCTGCCTAGATACTGGTGGTGTGGTCCAGGGAGAAGAGCACCTGTTGACTCTGTATTCAGAGGATCTGGGTTCAAATCTCACCTCTGATGTTTACTACTTGTGGTACCTTGGGCAACATACTTTACCTCTTTGTGCCTCAGTTTCTTCATCTGTAAAATATAGAGGCTGGACTGGATGACCTCTGAAGTTCTTCTAGCTCTAAATCTATGAATGTATAATCTTTCTGGGACTCAGTTTCTTCATCTGTAAAACAAAGATGGCCTCTGAGGTCCCATCTAGCGTTAGCTGTATTATCTTATCATCCTTTCTGATTGGGTTCAGTCTAGGGGCACCCAGCTTCAGGGGCAGCATTGGCAGTGATCAACGCAATCCCTCAACGGCACAGATCTCAGCACTGTTGGAGGTGGGGAAATAAAGGCCAGAAGATAACCAGGTTGGTCAATAACATCATGGGAAGTGTTTGATCAGAAAGCACGGGGCTACTTCAGAAGTTTCAGTGGTCAGGATTAATGAAGATAACACTGAATGTTAATAGCAAAAATATACCTCCATAACAGAAGCAGGGGTCTCTTGAGAGCTGTATTAAAGTATGAAGGTAGGGTCTTCTCTCTCTCTCTTTCTCTCTCTTTCTCTCTCCCTTCCTCCCTCCTTCCCTTTCTTTCTCCCTTTCTCTCTTTGTTTTTCTCACTGTCTTTGTGTCTCTCACTGTTTCTTCCAATGAGGAAATTCATTCTCTAAATACAGGTTGACAACTGCGATTTATAGACTTTGAGAGTTACTTGGGGACCCAGAAAAAGTGAAGTAAGTCGCCCCAGACCCATAGTCAGAAGCAGGACATGAACCTAGCTGTATCTTCCTGTCTCCACAACCATCTCTCCATCCATATAGTTTAAAGTCCATGAGCAATGACAGACGGCAGGACGCTAAGACAGCAATGAGGGCTGATGGACATAAAGTTGTTCAAACGTGTTAGGAATCTCCAAGGAGAAGGAAGGCTGCCCCACTTCCACTCCCCAGCAAGAACACACATACAAATTGGGTTCTATATGCTGAAGATGCCAGGGTGCAGATCGATGAAGAACAGAGGGGATTTTTTGGAAGAAGAAAAAACTTAGAAAAGGCAAAGATGAACACAAGTTGGGATGTACTCATCTAGAAACCAAAAGAAGTGCATTCAGCAACCAAGGAAGAAACAGGGCCACACAGACAGCAAAGAGTGAGTGGAAAGCTTTCCAATCTAACAAGCATTTATTAAACACCTACTCTGTGCAAATCAGTATGGAGTAGCCGGGTCTGGCCTTCAAATCAAGACAACCTGGGTTCAAATCATGCCTCTGACATATACTGGCTGTGTGACCCTAGGTAAGTCACTAGCCTCTCAGGGCTCTAGGAAGCTCTTTCCAAGAATATAAGTTGCAGAGATGGAGCCAATCAGCAGTGGTAGAGGGAACTTCATCACCTGGGACATCCCCATGCCAAAGAAACCATAGGGCCAGAGAAAAATGTTCAAAGTACCATGCTAGATGCTGAGAATACAAAATAAAAAGTGGTTTCTGCCTTCAAGGAGCTTATTTGCAACACATAAGCCAGTGAGCAAATGCATGTTAATTTGAAGAGGGAGAGAGAACATACTGAGGAGTAGAGCAATCAGAAAAGGCACCCAGTAGGTATCTTGTGATATCCAACTACTGTCTTAGTATCTTAACTTACTTATCTTAGTATCTTAACTTACTAACTTGGTTAGGTAATACAAATAGTTAGATAAAAGGCAGTGTATAGGAGGTTAGATGTGAGTAGTCTTCAAGGAATGATGCACTCTAAGAGACGGGAGTGAGAAGGGAATGTGTTCCCTGTAGGCAGGACAGTACTCATCAAACAGCAAGTGTCTTACTATGGGCCAGACACTGTGCTCACCTAGCAAGGAGGATACAAAGGCAAAGCACAGTCCCTGCCCTCAAGGAGCTTACAGTCTAATGGAACCAAACCCAACAACATAGAGAACCGTAAGAGAGTTCAACCTTCCTCCAGATGATGGAAGTAGGAGGGAGTAGAGAAAAGAATGAATGCAACAGATGCCCATGACAACCCTGTGGGGAAGGCGGTGCAAATATCATTGTCCCTATTTTACAGATGAGAAAACTGAGGTTTGGTGTGTTGCTTCTGGAAGCAGAGTGGGGGACTGGGAGAAAGGGCCTTAGGATTCAAAGTTCAGGAGCTCACGGAAGAAGATTCCATTGCTTTGCATTTGTGCCAACCTACTGAATGATGGGAGGTGGTCCTTGTCATTCACATCAACTATATGAGTGTGTACTCTGAAATGAAAGTGGAGCTGTGCCCTTGAACTGACTTGTGACCTTGGGGTTACCATAGACAGCAAAGGATGAGGTTGATGATCGAGAGAAAGAAACTTGAGTCTACCTACTACCTCAGGGAAGTAACTCAAACTCTCTGGGCATCAGTTTCTTCACCTACATAATGAAAGAGTTGGAAGATGATCAATACTGAAGGCTGCAAAATTTTAATGGCCAAGCTCAGACCTAAAAAAGGAGATATAAGATGCCTTCCTTTGATTCTTGGAATAGATTAGGGATGAAACGCCACAACAAGTCAGACTTTTTCAATATGTTGGTTAGTTTTGCTGAACTGTTTTCTTTCCTTTTTTGTATTCGTTATAAGAGATGGCTCTCTGAGAGGGGAAGGGGGTGGATACATTAGAAAATGTAGGTGATGAAAGAACTAAAGTTATCAACAAATATTTATTGAAAAAAAATAAAAGCTTTAGACTCAATGACCTCCAAGGTCCCTTCCAGCTCTAATTCTGTGCTCCTATGATCCTATGATCCTCCACCATAGGCCATACTCATCTTTCCATCATGGCGGCACAGTGCTGCTGAACTATAGGTAAGTGTCGTCCCTGGCCGTAGTGCTGACAACACTGGCCATCAACCTCTCCCTACCCTTGGCCAGGGGACTGACACAGACCAGTCATGTGGTCACACAGCTAGTATGAAGTGAAGGCAGGATTCCAACCCATGTCTTCCAACTCCAATCTAATGCTCTTTCCACAACATCCTCCTGCATCTCATATTGAACCTTAGTGAGATTAAGAGAATCAATTACCCAAGGGGAGTCCAAAGCTGGGACTCAAACCCAGGTCTTCTG